AAAAACTAAGCATACTTTACCATTTTTTTTGCTTTTTTCTCAATGTTTATACTATCAGATATGAATGATGTGAAAATTACAAGAAATGCATGTTTTTTCTTAATTATTTTTTTTCAATTCCTTATAGGAATATGTATGTGTATTATATTGCAAAATGAGAAAAAAATAAAAATAATGGTAAAGTATGCTTAGTTTTTGTTTTTGTTTTTATGATTCTTCTTTCACTTCAGTAGTAGGCATTAACTAATAAACATATACATATATTTAGATGCATGAGCATTATTTGTTTTCTTGATTATAATCTTTTCAAGCAAGAAAAAATATAATCAACACAGCAAAAACTTTGATAATAAGCCATCGATTCGATGTAACTGAATGAAGATATTGAAGTAATATTGTATATACACGTTCAATGTTATGTGTTGCTTCATTAACATTAGCATAAATTCTAAATTAAATGAAAATTTCCAAATTTCTAATGCATACATATTGTTTTTTTTCTCATCTGTTTACTTATCAACACGTTCTCTGTATTGTCGTACTATTACACCTAATTGAATAAAAATATCGCCAAGCTGAATAACTGTTTGTTCTATATTTTGTATAGCTTCCGAACGATTTACCAAATATGTAGCCTAAATTTTTATTTTAAATTCTTGTTTATTTATTAAAAATTAAAGAAAAATAAATTATGCTGCTCCTTTCATAACTTGTACTTTTTGTTTCATAAAAGGATTATATATTTCATCTGCAGGGCTGTCGCGGCCAGGAGGGACGGGGGGTCACCCCCCCCCCCCAATCTTTAGAAATTTTGTTTTTTTGCTCAATATTTTTTAAGAAATTTCCAAGAATTTTCGAAAAATTTTCAAAAATCTCTAAAATTTGCAATAAATCTCTACATTTTTTAGAAAGGACAAGGGCGGATAAGGCCGTTTTCTTGCCCCCAAAATAATTCGCTTTTTTATATAAAAGTCAAGTCAACAACGACTCCTGATGATACTGCAAAGGTTTATTTTGCAACATCTTACCATCGATTTTTCGACTCATACCTGTACTCCCCCACAGCAGTGTTAACCCTTTCCGGCCGGATGTTGCCATATGGCAACATTTTTCCCTATAGGTGTACGGCGTTTTTCGAATAGCCGACCGGAAAGGGTTAAAAATAAGTTTTGGCCATCCCTGTGGGGGAGTACAGGTATGGGTCGAAAAATCGATGGAAAGATATTGCAAAATAAACCTTTGCAGTATCATCAGGAGTCGTTGTTGACTTGATTTTAACATAAAAAACTGAAATACTTTGGGGGCGAGAAAACGGCCTTATCCGCCCTCATCCTTTCGATAATTTATAGAAATTTCGAAAGTTTTTCAAAAAATTTGTCGACCCCCCCCCAATCTTTAACACCTCGCGACAGCCCTGTTCATCTGAATCCATATCAATAGTAACTTTATCTTCATTGGTTGTTCGTTGTTTATCACGAAAAAGTACACGCGAACGATCTATGAGTAAGAACATGAAACTAGACTGCCATTCAGCGCTGCGCGCTGGATGGAATGTCGGCTGACTGCAGACTAGATGTTCAATTCTTTTAAAGTGATAGCTCATTGTTTGGTAGCCATTCGAAAAATTTTCTCTGA